TTAAAAGTGAACCAAGGCCGGGGCAGGGGGGCTCCAGGAGCCTATGGCGACATAGCCTGCCAATTTGGGCGATGCATCTGGCTATATAAGCGTGCACTTCGCCGAGGTTACGTTAGTAACCGAGTACGTTTCCTATCGATACTTCACTCGTACTGCGTCTGCTAAGATGCTTCAGTATAATAGTATAATCCCGCCGTGCTATGTTAGAGGAACGACCAATGCTTGAACTTGCCTTGAGCACCAAGGGCCCAAAGTAATTGCGGGGCCAAGAGCCTACAGAGAAGGCAAACGCCTGATTTAACACTGGTTTTACCAGATTAAGTCCATTTAAGCAGAAAGGACCCGAGCCTGTAAAGCTGGGAAATCCAGATTATAAAACCTGGTAAATGTGGACGGCGAGGCCCAGCCGGCCGCCGCAAAAATTTCTGCAATGGAAACTCTGCTAGACCATGGGGCATTGAAGGCCCAAAGAAGAGTACGCTAGCTTGATAGCGTCAATTATCCATTTGGAAAGTCTCTGCTTCGTGACCGGAGACCCTCTGGTGCGGTCACCAAAGCATACAAATAGCTGATCCGACAGCCTGAATGGGGCGGAACGCTCAGTGTATATTCTCAATGCCCTGACGGAGCAGAGTAGATTTAACTCTTGGTCCTGCCCGAAGGAGGAAGCGCCGAAAGAGCTATCACCTGTGCTCTGAACGGAGTTGAGAGCACTTTAGGTGCATAACCATGCCTTGGCTTCAGGACAACCTTGGAGTCGTTGGGCCCTCAGAGCCCTCAACACCGTGGGCAGGTCCCATGTAGGGACGGTGACAGGGTGAGGCGGTTTGAGCCTCCTAGACCCCTTCAAAAAGTGAAAAACTAGGTTGTTCCTGCCCACCGACTGGCCAGCTCTAGGTGCGTGTGAGGCTGCTATGGCTGCTACATAGACCTTGAGCGTGGAAGGGGAGCGACCCTTATCCAACAGCTCCTGCAGGAAGGACAATATCAGAGATATGCCGCAGGAAATTGGGTCTGTGCCGATTTGGTGCTCTAGCCTGAGATATTGTGTTTAGAAAGCTCTCTGGGAGGCCAGAGGTGCAGAGCCCACAGCTCGGGCTGGGGGTGCCATATTGTTCTGTTCGCCTGAGAGAGGAGGTCTCGTCTCAGGGGGATGGGCCACGGGGCTGCTAGCACGGCCATTGGTTTGTGCAGTGTATTATTAAAAATGAACCAATGGCTCGGCAGCGGAGCTGCACGAGCCTATGGCGACATAGCCTGCCAATTTGGGCGATGCATCTGGCTATATAAGCGTGCACTTCGCCGAGGTTACGTTAGTAACCGAGTACGTTTCCTATCGATACTTCACTCGTACTGCGTCTGCTAAGATGCTTTGGGGAACCATTATAATCCCGCCGTGCTATGTTAGAGGAACGACCAATGCTTGAACTTGCCTTGAGCACCAAGGGCCCAGAGGGACCAAGTAATTGCAGGGAAGCCCCACAGGAAGTGATAGGGCCAAACTCACAGAG